AGTCACAGCTTCCCGCCTCCCTAGAGTCAGGGCTTCCCGCCTCCTTAAAGTCACAGCTTCCTGCCTCCCTAGAGTCACAGCTTCCTGCCTACCTAGAGTCAGGGCTTCCCGCCTCCTTAAAGTCACAGCTTCCTGCCTCCCTAGAGTCACAGCTTCCTGCCTCCCTAGAGTCAGGGCTTCCCGCCTCCATAGAGTCAGGGCTTCCCGCCTCCTTAAAGTCACAGCTTCCTGCCTCCCTAGAGTCAGGGCTTCCTGCCTCCCTAGAGTCACAGCTTCCTGCCTCCCTAGAGTCACAGCTTCCCGCCTCCCTAGAGTCAGGGCTTCCCGCCTCCTTAAAGTCACAGCTTCCTGCCTCCCTAGAGTCACAGCTTCCTGCCTCCCTAGAGTCAGGGCTTCCCGCCTCCTTAAAGTCACAGCTTCCTGCCTCCCTAGAGTCAGGAATTCCTGCCTCCCTAAAGTCACAGCTTCCTGCCTCCCTAGAGTCACAGCTTCCCGCCTCCCTAGAGTCACAGCTTCCTGCCTCCCTAGAGTCACAGCTTCCTGCCTCCCTAGAGTCAGGGCTTTCCGCCTCTATAGAGTCAGGGCTTCCCTCCTCTTTAAAGTCACAGCTTCCTGCCTCCCTAGAGTCAGGGCTTCCTGCCTCCCTAGAGTCACAGCTTCCTGCCTCCCTAGAGTCACAGCTTCCCGCCTCCCTAGAGTCAGGGCTTCCCGCCTCCTTAAAGTCACAGCTTCCTGCCTCCCTAGAGTCACAGCTTCCTGCCTCCCGAGAGTCAGGGCTTCCCGCCTCCCTAGAGTCACAGCTTCCTGCCTCCCTAGAGTCACAGCTTCCCGCCTCCCTAAAGTCACAGCTTCCTGCCTCCCTAGAGTCACAGCTTCCTGCCTCCCTAGAGTCACAGCTTCGCGCCTCCCTAAAGTCACAGCTTCCCGCCTCCCTAGAGTCACAGCTTCCTGCCTCCCTAGAGTCAGGGCTTCCTGCCTCCCTAGAGTCACAGCTTCCCGCCTCCCTAAAGTCACAGCTTCCTGCCTCCCTAGAGTCAGGGCTTCCCGCCTCCCTAAAGTCACAGCTTCCTGCCTCCCTAGAGTCACAGCTTCCTGCCTCCCTAGAGTCACAGCTTCGCGCCTCCCTAAAGTCACAGCTTCCCGCCTCCCTAGAGTCACAGCTTCGCGCCTCCCTAAAGTCACAGCTTCCCGCCTCCCTAGAGTCACAGCTTCCTGCCTCCCTAGAGTCAGGGCTTCCCGCCTCCCTAGAGTCACAGCTTCCCGCCTCCTTAAAGTCACAGCTTCCTGCCTCCCTAGAGTCAGGGCTTCCCGCCTCCCTAAAGTCACAGCTTCCTGCCTCCCTAGAGTCAGGGCTTCCTGCCTCCCTAGAGTCACAGCTTCCTGCCTCCCTAGAGTCACAGCTTCCCGCCTCCCTAGAGTCAGGGCTTCCCGCCTCCTTAAAGTCACAGCTTCCTGCCTCCCTAGAGTCACAGCTTCCTGCCTCCCTAGAGTCAGGGCTTCCCGCCTCCTTAAAGTCACAGCCTCCTGCCTCCCTAGAGTCACAGCTTCCCGCCTCCCTAGAGTCACAGCTTCCTGCCTCCCTAGAGTCAGGTCTTCCTGCCTCCCTAAAGTCACAGCTTCCTGCCTCCCTAGAGTCACAGCTTTTCGCCTCCCTAGAGTCACAGCTTCCTGCCTCCCTAAAGTCACAGCTTCCTGCCTCCCTAGAGTCAGGGCTTCCTGCCTCCCTAGAGTCAGGGCTTCCCGCCTCCTTAAAGTCACAGCTTCCTGCCTCCCTAGAGTCACAGCTTCCCGCCTCCCTAGAGTCAGGGCTTCCCGCCTCCTTAAAGTCACAGCTTCCTGCCTCCCTAGAGTCAGGGCTTCCCGCCTCCCTAGAGTCACAGCTTCCTGCCTCCCTAGAGTCACAGCTTCCCGCCTCCCTAAAATCACAGCTTCCTGCCTCCCTAGAGTCACAGCTTCCCGCCTCCCTAGAGTCAGGGCTTCCCGCCTCCCTAAAGTCACAGCTTCCTGCCTCCCTAGAGTCACAGCTTCCCGCCTCCCTAAAGTCACAGCTTCCCGCCTCCTTAAAGTCACAGCTTCCTGCCTCCCTAGAGTCAGGGCTTCCTGCCTCGCTAGAGTCAGGGCTTCCCGCCTCCCTAAAGTCACAGCTTCCTGCCTCCCTAGAGTCAGGGCTTCCTGCCTCCCTAGAGTCACAGCTTCCTGCCTCCCTAGAGTCAGGGCTTCCTGCCTCCCTAGAGTCACAGCTTCCTGCCTCCCTAGAGTCACAGCTTCCTGCCTCCCTAGAGTCAGGGCTTCCCGCCTCCTTAAAGTCACAGCCTCCTGCCTCCCTAGAGTCACAGCTTCCCGCCTCCCTAGAGTCACAGCTTCCTGCCTCCCTAGAGTCAGGTCTTCCTGCCTCCCGAAAGTCACAGCTTCCTGCCTCCCTAGAGTCACAGCTTTCCGCCTCCCTAGAGTCACAGACTCCTGCCTCCCTAAAGTCACAGCTTCCTGCCTCCCTAGAGTCAGGGCTTCCTGCCTCCCTAGAGTCAGGGCTTCCCGCCTCCTTAAAGTCACAGCTTCCTGCCTCCCTAGAGTCACAGCTTCCCGCCTCCCTAGAGTCAGGGCTTCCCGCCTCCTTAAAGTCACAGCTTCCTGCCTCCCTAGAGTCAGGGCTTCCCGCCTCCCTAGAGTCACAGCTTCCTGCCTCCCTAGAGTCACAGCTTCCCGCCTCCCTAAAGTCACAGCTTCCTGCCTCCCTAGACTCACAGCTTCCCGCCTCCCTAGAGTCACAGCTTCCCGCCTCCCTAGAGTCAGGGCTTCCCGCCTCCTTAAAGTCACAGCTTCCTGCCTCCCTAGAGTCAGGGCTTCCCGCCTCCCTAGAGTCACAGCTTCCTGCCTCCCTAGAGTCACAGCTTCCCGCCTCCCTAAAATCACAGCTTCCTGCCTCCCTAGAGTCACAGCTTCCCGCCTCCCTAGAGTCAGGGCTTCCCGCCTCCTTAAAGTCACAGCTTCCTGCCTCCCTAGAGTCAGGGCTTCCCGCCTCCCTAGAGTCACAGCTTCCTGCCTCCCTAGAGTCACAGCTTCCCGCCTCCCTAAAGTCACAGCTTCCTGCCTCCCTAGAGTCACAGCTTCCCGCCTCCCTAAAGTCACAGCTTCCCGCCTCCTTAAAGTCACAGCTTCCTGCCTCCCTAGAGTCAGGGCTTCCTGCCTCCCTAGAGTCAGGGCTTCCCGCCTCCCTAAAGTCACAGCTTCCTGCCTCCCTAGAGTCAGGGCTTCCTGCCTCCCTAGAGTCACAGCTTCCTGCCTCCCTAGAGTCAGGGCTTCCTGCCTCCCTAGAGTCACAGCTTCCTGCCTCCCTAGAGTCACAGCTTCCTGCCTCCCTAGAGTCAGGGCTTCCCGCCTCCTTAAAGTCACAGCCTCCTGCCTCCCTAGAGTCACAGCTTCCCGCCTCCCTAGAGTCACAGCTTCCTGCCTCCCTAGAGTCAGGTCTTCCTGCCTCCCTAAAGTCACAGCTTCCTGCCTCCCTAGAGTCAGGGCTTCCTGCCTCCCTAGAGTCAGGGCTTCCCGCCTCCTTAAAGTCACAGCTTCCTGCCTCCCTAGAGTCACAGCTTCCCGCCTCCCTAGAGTCAGGGCTTCCCGCCTCCTTAAAGAAACATTCATCATTACTGAGTCATAGCAAAGCCTCCCTGTCCTTTCTCCATCACTGATGGCTAATATCATCTGCCAGGGTGTTTACAACTGGTGTAGTGGCGCCACAGATGATGCTACGTTTAGCAGCAGGTGGATCTGGAGTGATACACCTGGCGCTGGTGTTTGATGCGTTCTGGTTGGAAGAGGAATCTTTTAAAGATGCTGGAGGAAACCGCTGCTTTCAGGATTTATCACTAAGTCCAATTAAACCCCCCCCCCCCCCCCCCCCCCCTCCCTGCATTAGATGCACCAGTTGAAAGAGCTTTTTCACAAGTTGCTGTGGTGAAAGATGAGTCCAGAAATCTCATGGGCCTGCTGAACCTGTCAGGGTTGATGTATGTAATGTAATGGATGGTCATCAGCATTGTTTCGACCTCCCTGACAGTTACTGGCCTGATATCGTTCAACCATGAACTGATCACTAATCACAGTGGATTGGATTATAGTTCACCAGAGTAAAAGTTCAGCGTTTAGATTTTCAGTGTTCCAGCCAACAATTTAATTTTTAAAGGTAAGAATTCAAAATCAACCAGAATAAATGCCATTATTTCAGGTATATAAAAATAAGCTTAGCATATCTGTGTGTCACTGATGGTAGTTTGTCTGCTAAAGGTAAAAATAAGAGTAATCTACGTGGTTATGACTCCATCACAGCTTCCTGCTCCAGCGTTGAATTAAGTTGTTAGTAAATAGAACAATATATTAACTGGTATATTAACGCATTCTGAGCCGAACCCTGAAGGCTCCGCGGAGAAGGACCACGACACGATCAGGAAACAGGTCAAACACAAAAACCCTCTCAATCCGCTGGCCGCCAACAACAAGGACACAAAACAAAAAGCAATGATCTAGCCCCCATCGTTCGGGCTAAACTGAAGATAAATCAGAGATGCAGGTGGAAAATTAGGAACCTGGCAGAACCAGGCAGGTGAGTGAAATTAACAATTAGGGTGAAGCTACCGGACCAGAACCTTGTTCACTGAGCATGAGCAAACAAGAGAGTTCTTCTTCTTCTCCTTCCAGATTAACAAGTCTGACCGGCATCTCTCACCTGAGTCCCACCTGGTTTTTGGACGTACAAGGTGAGCAGGTAGATCGCATCAGAGCGTCGGGTCGCACAGTGTGAGAACAAACATGGTGAGCTGTGATATTTTGTTGGTAGAGTTTGAGCTTAGCTGCGTGCTAGGATTGAAAATAGGGCACAGTGTACGCCTGACTTAAAGTGAAAGAAATGTTAAAAATATTTGGGTAGGAATAAAAATTTAAACAACAAAAATAGCCTTTTCTTTTTTATTAAAAACCCTTTTTAAAAATAAAACATTGAAGATTGTGACTGATTTTATCCATGTTAGAGTTTAATGGAAAATACAGAAAACAAAGGTGCATAATGGCTGAACAGACAGATGCAAACGTGCATGTGAGTAAAAAATCAACAGCATCACATTCATGAACAGAGTCCAGCTGGAAAATCTGGATCTAAATAAAAGGCAGATTGAAAAAGGTGTAGAAAACAGCGAAGGGTGAACGTTGCTGAAAATGCTGGGGTGCCAGAGCTGTTTGGATGCTAGCGTTGATTCACAATCAGACGTTACAAGAACACATTAGTTTCAGAGTGAATGAGCAGAACTAGGAGTGAAAGCCAAACATTTTCTCTTTTTTTTCACAAAAAGGAGACATTAAAACAGCTGTAACTCGTTAGGTTATTCCAGCTAGCTGCTATGGTTGTCTTTTAATCGCCATGCATTGTGTATACTTTGTTTTTATTAATAGTCTTTTGACAGATCTTCGTATTTAGCAGTTTTTTTTACTGTCAGCTACATATGCAAAGCCACATATAATGTAGGAATAATTGCACATGTTCTCTAAGTAGCTAGTAGCATTGTTTATGGGTCCTGCGAACCTTCCAGACTGCGGTCAGTAACGCTGAGGTCTTTACAGCCGGCCGCTGGGACATCGACAGCCAACGCAGAATGAGATGATGACAGAATGATCCACGGAGTCTCTGCAGTCCGTGACGTGACAGGTAAATGAAATGAGAGATGGAGGTCCGGACGACGCGGCAGCTCCACTACACGCCACAGGTCGACCGTTTTACAGCAACAGACAGGGAAATGAGGTAAACCAGCAACAGGCTCTCCTGTCGCTCCGTTCCGTTTTGGCACGATGACTGAATATGACGGCACGGGTTCCAGTCGAAGCATAGGAAACAGAAAAGGCACGTTTCTCAGAGGACTCGCTCTGTGACTCAGTCTGAGTTTCATTCTCTCCAGTCTGTATCTGCAGCCTTTGGTGTCTAATCGTTCCCTCGGTCCTTGGCCTGTGTTGGCGAGAACCCGTTCAGTTTGCTGCGCTCTGCTGCGAACTGCGACAGGTTAGTCAGGCTGGTGTTTTCCTCCTTCTTTTCTCGGCTCTCTTCGTCCGGCTCCCCGTCTTCCTCCCCCGTTCTCTCCTCTCCTTGTGTCGGCATGTTGATGGCCATGCTGGTACGCCAGGAATCTCCTGGGATGTTCCTGCACAGGTCGCGGCTCTTATTGCGCCTGGCCAGCTTGGTGAGCGACCCGAACCGCACGTTGAAGAGGTTCTCCTCTGAGGAAGATGCCGTCTGCGGGGCTTGCTCGCTGCTCTGCTGCTCGTACGCCTCGCACGCCCCCTTCAGCCTCAGGTTGTTCAGTTTGCCGTCGATGTTCTCTTGGGAAGAGGTTTTGAAACGTCCTGCGTCCAGATTGGCAAACATGGCCCGCTTCTCTGGGGACAGAACGTCGAGCGACTGAGCCCGCTGCTCCAGGCCCAGCTGACGACGCTCCATGCTGCGGATGGTGGCGGCCCGCTGCAGTTTGTCGTGGATCTCCACACTCAGACGCCTCCTGGTTTCCCGGAACTCGGCTCTGACGTTTGCCTTCCACTCCGCGGCGTGAGCCTTGAACTCTCCCACCTAAAATAAGGGGATCAGAGGACTTAGCATCGTAGAAGACACTAGGAAGGACGTCGGTTTGCAACGATGGATGCAAAGGGGTTAAAGGAATAGTACACCCAAAACATGATCAGCCTTCATTTTCTACTCACCCCCATGCTGAACAACACTCTGGAGTACTTTTTTGATATCTCAAATGCATCTGGAGATCTGGGAGGCTTCTTGCTGTCTGCTGACATTCAAATAATGGAGGTCTATGGCGCCCGAGGCAGAAAGGTCCATAAAAGTCCACAAAAAACGTGTCAATATTCCTCCATACTGCTCGTCCAATGTATTCCAAGTGTCCTGAGTGGGTAGCATCCAGAATTTACTCGAAACGAAGTCATTTAGAATGTTTTTAGAGCATAAACAGTAGTGTATAGGATTTCCTGAAAGCGCGTTCAAGACGCTACGGAAACCGCGGCAGACCAAACCAGATGAAAGTGCGCATTCAGCGTCTGCTCTGCCGATAATGCAAGCGTAGAAGAAGAAATGTGCTGTTTACCTGTGCAAAGAAAGAAACAACGAAAGAAAAATGTCTGAGGACTTCAGTGTTGAGGAAGAGCATGAGTTCTCTGCCGAGCTGAATGCGCACTTTCATCTGGTTTGGTCTGCCGCGGTTTCCGTAGACTCGTGAACGCGCTTTCAGGAAATCCTATACACTACTGTTTATGCTCTAAAAACATTCTAAATGACTTCGTTTCGAGTAAATTCTGGACGCTACCCACTCAGGACACTTGGAATACATTGGACGAGCAGTATGGAGGAATATTGACACGTTTTTTGTGGACTTTTATGGACCTTTCTGCCTCGGGCGCCATAGACCTCCATTATTTGAATGTCAGCAGACAGTAAGAAGCCTCCCAGATCTCCAGATGCATTTGAGATATCAAAAAAGTACTCCAGAGTGTTGTTCAGCATGGGGGTGAGTAGAAAATGAAGGCTAATCATGTTTTGGGTGTACTATTCCTTTAATATCAACATATGCAGAAACAGAAACAACCAAAAGTATTCAAACATGTAACAAGTGCAGATACAGTGGCAGTCAGGGCCTTCAAAGCCTAAAACTATCAGAAACACTGACCTACATTCATAACCTATACTTTAATTTTCTTCTTTACAACTGTATTAATTTGTTCCTAATAATCTGTTCTCTTCATTTTGTAGTATTTCTATTGGCTGTGTTGCTTCCATTACATTTATCTGGTTGTTATATTTTCTGTCCAATCAGATTTCAGCCTCTGGGTGTTGCTATGTCAATCCAATCTGCCCAGAACTTTCTGAATCAGCAGCGCTGCTGATGTAACCTTAACAATATTAGTGAGGAACGTTTTATTCAGCCAATCAGATTTCAGATTCAGCTAGAAGGCCCGCCCCTTATTCAGTATTTTCTGTCCTCTGATTGGTCAGTTAGAGCTAAATATTTACAGCCAAGTTAAGCTAGCAACAATCTGCATTTTAAATGATCTTTTGTTCAAAATGTTTCTGGCCTTAATGGCTGAAACTAAATGGAGACACTAAGACTTCCTGCACAAAGACAGAAGGATGATTTAGTTAGTAAATAATCAGCATCTCTGGTGATGAGCCTGGTTCTGCTGGAGGTTTCTTCCTGTTCAAAGGGAGATTTTCCTCTCCACTGTCGCTACAAGCATGCTTAGTGTGAGGGATTGCTGAAGAGTCAATGAGTCGATGCAATCAGCTGGTTTTCCTTAGATAGAAAACTTTGAATCAATCTGACTGGATGATCTGGTGAACTGGAAAGTGACCTGAGATGACATGATGGGAATTGGAGCTATAGAAATAAACTGAATAGAATAGAATTGAGTGTGATATATATTTTATCTCTATTTTATCTGTTAATTAGATTAATCTGAATCTGAACGGCTCCTGATGTAAAGATGGCGGAGCGTGGTTATAGAGGTTTGCTGTTGTCTTAATTCACCCTCACACTGACCTTCCTCTGTGTTTTACCTGCGCAGCGCATATGGTTCCCAGGCCCTCAGTGGGCACCCGGGTTCTTCTACGCTCAGTGAGGAAATACCACCTGACAGCTGTTCCAGGTGGAAACTTATTATCTGATATGAAGTAAAACTTCCCTTTAGGCAGTATTTTCAGATGCTGCTAATCACACGTTTACTTCAGTACATTCAGTACCACAGATTTCTCTGCTTCAATTTATCTGGTTTATTGCATTACTTGGAATTAAGTAATACGACGGAGAATTAGGATCAGGCAACAGATTTATATTTTTTTAAATACAAGAAGAAGATCATAACAGAATAATATCAGCATAAAGTCTTAATATAATGTTGCAACTTTATTCTCGTAATATTATGAATTTATTCTGATGTTTCAAAGTTTTTTTCATGATATTATGAATTTATTCTTGTATTTGAAAACAACATAATACGTAACTTTTTGTGTTTACAGGAAATTTAGAATTTGCTGTAAATTTTGTATTTATACGAAGTTTTTCCCGTTCAGCCACCGTATCTTTCAGGTCGTCAGCCGCCAGTTGGCTCCCTCGCCTCTGTACACGTCGGCCCGTGGACGAGCCGCTCCGTTGGGTTTGTGAACGCACCTTTACACGCCACATGATCACACAGAGAAGCCAAGCGGGATGAAAGCTCACCTCCTCCTTGGTCTTTTTGGAGAGCACCCTCAGCCAGTCCCCGATCATGCTGAGGACAGCGGCGAAGTAAGCCAACCCCACCAGGATCCAGAACCACACCAGAGGCTTGTACCAGGTCATATATTCGATGGTCCGGTTTCCGCCTGTAGGGGGAGCAGAAACATGGCAGGGGTCAGCGGAGGCGAATCCGATGATCAGCGGGAAGCCGCCGCCGTGCGGGACGACCTGCTACGTAGTCTCCGATCCCCACGGTGGTGAGCGTGATCACCACAAAGTAGATGGCCTCCAAGGTGGTCCAACCCTCGATGTGTTTGAAGATCACGGCGGGGATGGTGACGAAGACGATGCAGCCGGCGAGGATAAACAAAATGGCGGACGTCACTCTTATCTTGGTCTGGCTGATCTGTTTGTGTTTTTGCTGAGATAATTTAAAGGTGGACATTTGATTAAGAAATGACAGAAAAAAATGTGGATATCCTTAAAAAAGACAAGATGAAACAGAAACATAGCCTGGATGGCATTAAACAGATGCTTTTCTACTCCTATAGCTCTACAACTCCAAACATCAATAATGGAGGACGTTACTCACCCTGAATATCTTCTCAACCCGTAAGATGCTTTTCACAAAGATGGTCCCCAGCTGGTCTCCCACCCCCGCCAGCAAGAAGCCAAAGAGAGGGATGCCAAAGATGGCATAGAGAATGCAAAAGATCTTCCCTCCCTCCGTGCTGGGGGCGATGTTTCCATAACCTGTGGAACCAGGAAGAACATGTCAGAATTAAAACGGATCCAGAGGACGGCAAGGTGAGGAAGACGAGAAAGAAAGGTCAATCAAGCTTCTCTTATGCAACAGAATCAATTGATGGCCTTATGTAATGCCTCTCAGTGCCTAGAAAAGCTCCAGCAGACGGTAATTAGGTTCCCCTTCAAGGAAATTGCATTAATAATGAATCTACTGTAACAAACACCATGGAATGAGGTGAAGAACCCAGACGGCCTGCGGAAAGTTCAGCCTGGTGTCTTTGTCACCGACACCAACAGGAGAATCACTGCAGGTCACAGGTCGGGGGTTTTAGGATGATCCCGATATTCCCAGGAATAAAGTAATATTACTCCAACATTTATGAAATTTTCCAACAACAGCAATGAGAACTCCTAACTTATCTTACAGAGTCGAATCGTTTCCATCAGCGCGCTGATTTCAGAGGTTTTCTACCATCGTTTCAGGTCGATTTCTGGTATCGATACTGAATCAAGTCTTGGTTCAGTTTTGGTTGAGTCGTAGAATCAGGACATAACATAAAAACTTCTCTTCAACGTTTCTTTACATGTGAATCACAAACGGCAGCGTTTCTCTGCAGAGACTTTATTTGACAGACCAATGCTTCACAAAGTTCTTTACAGTAGTTTTATACAGTAGCAGCCATTCAAAATGGCCCTTCCTAGTCAAACACCAGTCGAATGGCAGCCCGCCAGCCAAGGACCAACCAAGGAAAGTGGGAATATTTTGAATGGCTACTACTGGCGGCTGTTTCTGCTGCTCTAGACGCTTCAGGACCCCTTGATGCGAGTCACCCATAGACTCTGCATGTAAAGCGCCTGCTTCTGCTGCTCAAAGCGCTAGCGGTGGGAACGTATCATAACACCGAGGTGTGCTACCGGTACGGCTCTGATTTAGGTCCGTTGTTTGCTCCTGTTTGCAGTGAGTTTGGTTCTATTACCGTTTCAAGCAAAGAACAGGCTTTTAAATGGAAACTTCTGAAATGGCACCCAGAGATAAAACTTTTAAACAGTTTAGAGTAGCTTTTCTTCCTGGGCTTTACTCTGGAGTGACGGTCAAAGACGCATCTAAATTAAAAAACAATCCACTGGACTTTGTTTCCAATTCTGAAGACATTTCGCTTCCCATCCAGGAAGCTTTTTCAATACAAAGTGTCTGGATCAGCGTTGAGTTCCAGCTTTTATAGAGTTCAGACTTGGAGACAAAGTCTAGTGGTTTGTTTTTTTAACTGGCTTAGCTTTGTTGGAATGACTAAGGCCTGAATTACATGATCTTCACCAGCAAAATGAAACACCAAAGGAAGAAAATTTTCATATTCCTGCAGAGGGAAAAGATCCTCACAGCTTTTTAGGGGAGCACCCCCTGGGGGGCGAAAGCTAGAAGGTATTGGAATAAATAACCCATTTAGGGGTAGCTTTATGAACAACATTGATTAAAAAGCTGAATTCTTTTACACAGTAAATACAATGACTTTAAAGGTAGTATTTTTCAGAATTAAAGGTTACTGTAATTTATTTATTTATAATTTTTTTTTTTTTTTTTTTTTAGAGTGTCCTGTCTGGCAATGTGGCGATAAGAATAATTGTCTTGATGCCAAAAGGAGCCCAACAGATTTTCCTTTCACAAGTGGAGCAGTATGGCAATTGCCATACTGCTCCACTTGTTTCATGCATATAAATTGCTTTATTATAATTATGCAGGGAGTTTTACAGTTTATATGGACACTGCAATGTAAGTAGGGCAGAAAAACAGAAGAAGAAGAAGAAAAAAAAAAAAAAAAAAAGGACAAAAGATGAAAGAAAGAGGAGATAGGAAGGAGACAATGACAAAACATTTTCAGTCTGCTTCATCACCTGCAACGAGATGAAAAAAAAACAGCACAACCAAAAGACGTGGTACGAGATATACTATAAAGCAAACACCTTGAAACTATCACTAAAGTAATATTATTAAGTCTGACATGTACTCTGTGTTACCTGAAGATATGAATGTGGGGTTTCTGTTTGGAAGTGAATCTCTGAGTACCTGAAGCATAGCACCTGTAGTTGATTGTGAGGGTGAACTTGTGCATGTAAAGTTTTAACCATAGGAAAAATGCTCAATAGTGGTTGTGGAGAGCCGGAGAGGCGCCCCCCCCCAGAGCACTGAGTCCAGCGCTGGGAGACCCAAAGCCCCAGGCGCCCAAAGGGACCCCAAGAGCGAAGGCACCAAGGAGGGGCCAGCCCCGGAAATCAGACCCCCACCAAGGGAGGAGGAGAGACAGCCACGAAGAAGCCCCCCAGCCACCGCCATGCCGGCGCCCCGGGCAGCCGCGGGGCCGAGTCCGCGGGCCCCGCCGACAGCCGGCCGCCCCGAAGTAGGGCTGGGCACCGAACACCAGCCCCCCCACGGCACCGACCGAAACGCCCCAGCCCCACAGAGCACCGAAACACGCCCCGCCCCCCGGCACCAAGCCCCGGCGACCGGCCGCAACACTCACCGCGACCGCACCACCCAGGAAAAACACTCAGGCGGCCCCGCCCACGGCTGGGGCCCACGCGCATCCGCCGCGAACCGGCCGCGAGCGCCGCGGGACCCCCCCAAAACGCCCCCCCGGCCAAAAGCGCAGCCCGACCCCACCAAGACCGATGCCAACAGCGCGCAACGAAACACACCGCGCACAGAATCAGCCCGAGAGCAGAAAAGCCGCCCGGCGCAAAACCGCAAGAAGAGCAGACCGCAGCCGGCACAACCACCCCCCCCAGCAGCCCGAGGGGCAGCACAAAGCCAGAGCGGAGCGAACCATGCCGCCCCCCCACCGGACGAAGCCAAAGCAGCACAGCCACGTCCGCCGCCTCCCCCCCGCCGCCCGCACCATGCCCTGACACGCGGCTAGAGCAGCTCCGCCGCCCCGGCCCCCCAACACGCGCCGGCCATAGCCACTCCAAGACCCCCACCCGCCCCGCAGCAAGACCCCCACCCGCCCCGCAGCCCCACCCGCCGCGATCAGCGGGAACAGAGCAGCTCCGCCATGCCTCCAGGAGGGAAAACCCACCCGAATACCCAGCCAGCGCAGCCAGCCCGCCCACACCGGCCCCAACACCACCCCCGCCGGAGCCGCCCGGACCCCCACACACCAGCGGCGCGCCGCCAGCAGGACCCCCACCCAGCAGGCCCGCCCGCCCCCCGAGAAAACAGACATGCCAAACCCCCCCAAAAAAAAAAATAAAAAAAAAGGAGCCCCCACAATGCGACAGTGGACACCATTCACCGACCCGCCTGCAACCACTCCCCCCCACCGAGGAAGAGAAAAAAAAAAACATAAATAAGAAAAAAAAATAAATAAATAAATAGGTAAATAAATTAATAAATTAATAATTACAATTAAAATAAATATGCGAGCGGAAAAACCGGAGCCCAAAACAGGAGCCAAGAAAATCCCCGAACAACAGCCAGCCCCACCCCGAAGCGGATCCAGTCCCAGGCCCCAAGGGCACCCAATCCCCAGACAGGAGCCCCAGCAAAGCCCCGGCCGGCCGGGGCCAGCGGAGAGGCCGCCAGGAATGAGCCAGCAGTCCCCCGGGCATCCACCCCCAGACCCCGAGCTCCACCAGTGCACTGGTGAGCCCCGACGCCAGCCAGCGGAGGGAGAGCAGGACGGGGGGAATGGGCTCTGTAATTTATTTACTGCAGCTGAGGTTGTTTGTTTTAAATGATTAAGAAGAGATTGGAAGCCGCTGTTTTAAGGAAACCAAAGTCCTTTTAAATCCTAACTGAACTTTCTGTTGGTCGATCAGAAAATATTCCTGTAAGAAACGTTCAAAGAAATAAAAATACTTTTTTGAGCACCCCGAGTTTCTGACATGACTGTACGATTTTAAACGACCTCTGAAGGATCAACGGGCCGCCATGTTGTCGCAGTGTAAGCAGCCGAGCCTGGAAGCGCGAAACATGTTTATGTCAGCAGATCTCAGAGCTGAGCTTCACGAGCCGTAAGCTCCAACAGCGATGAAGACAGCAAATAGTAAAACTTACCTGAGAATAAAACCGTTAGCTTTTAGGAAATCGATTCAAGGTTAGAAAACAGAGAAATGGGTTCAATCAGAACATTAAATAGAAATAAAATTAATCCATAAAAGGTCATAATTGGTTTATTCATAATAAATCCCAGTGGATAAGCAGTTGAGCATCCAGACGTATTAATGCCATGAATCAGAGCCGAGCAGCATCAGCGGCTCTCACCTATGGTGGTGATGACTGTCCCAGCAAAGAAGAAGGCACTGCCCGTGTCCCAGTAGCTGGAGTTGTTGGTTTCTCCGATCGGCCGGACTCCTGCGCTCACGGCGTCTATGGCGTGCTGCAGAGAACAACAGAAGACAAAGAAACAGGACTGATGAAATCCCAGCAGGAAGAATCAGGGTCAGCAGCTGTATCCAGGAAAACCAGCATGAACCAGTATTTCTTTAACTAATGGTTTATGTTTACCCAGGTGCCAAAGGTTCACATTAAGACATCATAACTGGGGAGGAATCGCATGTCTGCCATTTTTCTCCATCAGTCCAATGCTATCAACAGAAAAATCTTTTTAGTTTGCTAGCAGACAACTTTGTCATGATCTTGGCGCTGATGACTGGTTTGATTACTCATTTTATTCACCTGTCCAGTTCTGCCTGGTTTCTCATCACCGCTCATCTGATCCACCTGCTTCTCTTTAAGGTCCTTGCTTCCAGTCATCAGGGCCAGATTCTCCAGTGGTGAGCGTTTTAAGAGTTCCTTGGTGATTTTCTGATCCTGACCTGTTCTGCCTCTCAACCACTGAGCCTGCCTGTTCCCATCCAAACAGTTTGCCTGACCTGTCTTTGGACTCCTGGACCTCTGAGCCTGCCTCTTCCTGTTCTGATCTGTTTGCCTGACCTGGCTTCGGACTACTGCTTGTTCTCCGGCGCTGCAGCATTTGGGACACATCGTGGTCACTAACCTCTGCTTCTCTCCTGCAGAGTTCCCTGTTCCTCTTTTTGAATAATCCCACTGTCTGTCCTGCCTTAAATCCTGGGTCTTCTGTTCTGAGCCTTGACAAACTTCGGATTCGTTAGACTTTCAGGAGACAATACAGGAGGACAACCAAAATCCGTCTGTGTGGAGAGCACAGTGCTGTGGGCTTTTCCCTTTTAAAAAGAAGCCCATATGAAAAAAAGTCGAACTGATTTCACACATCGGATTGTCGGTTGGTTTTAAATGGATACAAAATCAACACACAGATTTTAAAGTGAAAAACATTTGATTTCCTGATATAACTCCATAACTTAGCTTAACGAAATTCCAGTAATTCCAGTTTTAGCTAGCATTTTTCCATGGTTCTTTTTTCAGGTTCGCATATCCACCATAAACACGTGATGTCCTACCGTCATGTTTACCCACTCTGCTTCATTCACTAGCTAGCTTATGGTGACCCGATGTCCCTGATATCAGGGGACAGTCCCCGTTTTGGACCACCTGTCTTCAGATAAAGCTGTCCCTGGCAATGTCCGGGATTTGACAGTTTTGATAAATTTAATCTTGTAGAGATTTATTTTTTTTTATGTACGATCTGGAAAAGACACCTGGTTCTAGCTAGCTTAGATTCACATGTCCACTCCCACTCCCACTCCCTCACACATCCATATTAAAGCACATTAGCCAATGATGACCCCTCTTTATCTGGTGCCACGTAGCTCAGGTAGCTTGTTAGCACGGCCTGTTGTTGATAGGATTACAAACCTTGAAAAACGGAATCGTTCCGTATTTATTGAAAACGAAACAAACTTTTTCCCATGTTACTGTGAGAGTAAAAAAATAATCAGTAAAAAGCTAATGGAAAATGAAGAACAACGGCACGTCTGATACAAAACTTACGGTAAACTTGTTCCCCTCCCTGTCCTGCATTGTGACCAATGAGCTGACAGCATGTATGTAACGGTCCAGAATCCCCTCATCCCATTGGTTGAGCCAAGTGTTGCTCACGGAGAAGATAGCGGTAGGCAGCAGAGCATTATGGGGGACGAATGGAGGAATTTAAATACTGATGCTGCTTTTTGGGGCAGAAAACTCCTCACTGCTGCAGGAGCTCAGAGGAAAGACAAGTGGAAAAAGTCGGCTGTCGCCACATTATGTTTCCAACTGTAGCCTGCTGTCATTGCATTTAATGCAGAAATATGTTAGAGTTTGCCAAAGTTTGCTGTTGCACCAAAAATGTGCACTATTTATTTATTGTTCTATATTCATTTTTATAGTTTGAAGTTAAGCAGGACAGGCTTATGTTTAAGATACTTATTTTATTCAGCAAAGTTTGTTATTTTGGATTAAAGTGAATTGCTGGATAATAATTTGTTTTCCATGTGTTCATGTCGCTCACAAATATGCATCTAATTCAATGCAGATTTGAGTCAAATAAAAAAAATAATAATTTCACACACAAATAGGGGCTAAAGAAAATCGCCAGGAGGGGTGAAGGCAATCGGTCAGCTGGAACGGACAGCAGGCGACCCTTTTTTTCAGGGAGTTGGTAACCCGACCTTCAGTTTACAGATTCACATCTCGGCTCGTTCAATGGGCGACAAGCAGATTGTCAGAGAAAAGTAACTGTAGGACAATCAGAGTTCGTTTGCTAATATTACCAGAAATTTAACATTACAGAATAAAAAATATATAAATATATATGTCAAATTAATTATTGTTTAAAGCAATTGTAAAAACATTTCTCATTCCTTTGTGTTGTGATTGTTTTTCTTTAGGATTTTAGCAGCATTTAGCATTTAGCCGCTCCATTAAGGTTAACCCTCGGTTCACTCAGGCTTCAGCTGTGAGTCCATTTAATGAAATATGCATTTAATCCACTGACACATATTTCTGAGCAGTAGGAGCACGATTACTCACCATTGCTCATTCGGTTGCCTCAGCTTCCGCTAACAACATTTAGTTTTTTGATCATAAATCATGGTTTAAAATTGAACCAAACAGAAGCTAATTTTAGAGTGGAGGATAGAAAGACATGGCCGCCCAATGAGTCTGAATATTTAATGATTCTATTTCTGCCCCATAACGTCCATTAGAACAGAAACAAAAAGGGTTTTTATGATTTATTTTATTTTTACCCTTTTTTTATTATTAATTCCATTTATGTTATTGCTCAGTCATCTTCGATCGTTTTTATTTTAAGCACGTTATTGTCGTATTCTTAGCTTTATTAACCTTTTATACTGTTTTCTGTTCTTTTCAGTCTTTTATCATCTTTGATGTTCATCTTTTTTTCAGCTTTGATTTTATGTTAAATCGCTTTATAAATAAAACTGATAATCGATGAGCAGCTATTAAAAAGCTTCCTGTTGAACATTGGGGATATTTTTAATTAAAACCTGCAGGTGCAACAATCTAAAGGTTTTAGTGGATCAACTCAGGAAGGAAAAACTGTTTATTAGAGACAGAAAAAATCTCCTCCAATTAAAAAAGGAAAAATTTGTGGTTAAAAAGAAAACTGTTAGCAGAAAGAAACGGCACAGATGCAGAGAAACATTTCTTGAGCCGATATCATTATTATTAATTTTAGTTACAAAACATTTTAAAATAGTTTTATCCTCTGGGTCCTTTTGATGGTTCAGACCTTCTGCTCTGCAAAGAAGCTTCATTTATCCCTTCATAGAGGAAGTAACTCTGACAGCAGCTTTCATTTGATGGTTTTCTTTATTTTTATTTATTTATTTATTTAAAAACAGCTGCTGACTTTTCATTTGTTGATATACTGTAAAACATCCACAGGAAGTTAACCCTTTAAAGGACGCTTATTGAAATCACTTTGAAAATTTCAAGCCACGAGGACAGGAGCTCAACCAGCCTGCTGAGCGTCTTCCTAACGTTCCCGTGGTTTTAGCAACGAAACAAAGACAAGGGCAGTTTTCCTCATTCCCTGTTTTATCTATAAAACATTTCATTGCTTTTAACAAAAACAGGACAGATTTATCACCGTTAAAATTAGTTTTCAACAGTTAAATTAACTAAAAAACAGTTAAATTAATTAAAAAGTCAAAGGAAAAGTTTGGGCATAATAGAATTCAAACTTCTGAAAGTTCTTTAAATCTGAAATGATTCCATCCTGTTCAATAAATGATCAGTGTTTTTAATTCAGAGTAATTTTCATGTGAATGTGCTTTACTGGAGGCATCCATGTTTGTCAAAGAACACTACTGCCACCTACTGGTTAGTGACGTCACGGTGCAGTATCGGCTGTTGATCAAGTCCCAGTGCTGTATCTGGTGTTTGTCACAACGCGCTATTATCCAAGTCATCTTGAAAACATTCTTCTTCCAAATGTTGGCTACATATTACGGGTTTTTTCTCTGGCCAGAAGTTCGATGGCAAATCCTCCCTCTTCAAGTTGGCGATCCAACGACCAACCCGTCCGTGGAGGATCAGGAATCAGAAAGGTGGAATAACTCTTTTTTTCACTTTTACCCGATGTATTCCAGCATCCAGCTGCCATGCACGTGGGCATTGTCAGTTTCACTATAGCTCTGGTGAATTTCAATGGTGAAGTCCTCTGGAAATCTTCAATAATTGTTGTTGATTGCAGATGTGTCTAGTAGTTCCCATTGATTTAGCTTGGAAAGCGGGGAGAATGGCGCTAGGCTTACCGCACCGTGACGTCACTGCTGGAAGATGGCAGGAGGGAGGGGCTACTATATTTGGGCAAAAATGGCCGCTCCAAGAGTCAGTGATCGCAACGAAAATTGCTTTTATTTTTTTACTGATTAAGGTTAAATTCATAAAATCACAGTGAAATTATTGGTTAAGGTATAAATAACGATCCATTGGTTATTTCTGGCTGATCCGACTTTTCCTTTAAGGTCAATGTAATAACGAGAAACATCCACTGGCCCTAAACTATTAAGTAAAAATAACAAAAAGTGCTTCTATAATTATTTCATGAAAAAGAAAGAAATACACGTTTTATTTGTCATAACTAGCGTTGCAAAGATGCCATTTTTTGGCCCCGATACCTGGCTGTGCAGAATCGGCCGATACCATCTGTTTGATATTGATGTGTGTGTGTCTATGAAGAACTGCAGACTACCTGGATGTAAAATAATCACCATCATGGCTTCATGTCAAGCTGCTGCCTTCCTTTGTGAAGCAGGAAACAGACTAAAACAAAGAGAATCCAGTAGAACTTTTTATTCCTACCTGGAATGGGTGACAATAGTTGAAGAAACTTTTGGATCTCAGATTGGTATCGGTGCCCTATTAGTTGGTACTCGCTGATACCGATAACACCATTTTAGAGCTGGATCGGGGCCCCGCTAGATACCGGTATCGTTATCAGTGCAG